ATATATATATATATATATATATATATATAGAGAGAGAGAGAGAGAGAGAGGGGGGAGAGGGAGAGGGAGGGGATCAATTGTAAACCATCCTCATTTGTGAAAACCTTATAAATGAATTTCATCTATCCATTTTCTTGATTAATAGTCAAGATTAAATGAGTTTATATTAGGAAATTAAAAAAAGAAAAATAAAAGTTTAATTTTTAATTAAAAAAGGGGTAAATTTGTCAAATCCACAATATGATTAGAGGCTAGAGCCATATTTATCGAGGGTTTCCTTTATTCAAAGATCCTTTAATGAAACAAAATCCACAATAGTTTCCTTAATGAAACAAAATCATTATTTTAAAAACTCTATATATCATTTTATAATTACAAAGACTCTAACAAAAAATGTTAGAATAATCTGAAAAGTTATATGTTTGATAAAAGTTATCTTCATTTTTATGTTTAAATATTATAAACAAAATAACATCCATCTTAAAAATAGATCCTAGTAAGGACCAATGAAACTAGGTATATCCTAATAAATGATGAAACATAAAACATAGTTTAATCAACAAAAAATAATGAAACATTTTAAATACGAAAGCAATGATTTTGTTTCATTAAATGAATGAATGAAACTGTTTCACCGTTTAGGGAACGAATTGTTTCATTAAATGAATAAATGAAAGTGTTTCACCGTTTATAAAAACTGAAAAATTATATGTTAGAATGGATGAAACTGTTTTACCGTTTAGAGAACGAATTGTTTCATTACAAAGATTCTAACAAAAAATATTAGAATAATCTGAAAAATTATATGTTTGCTAAAAATTATCTTCATTTTATGTTCAAATATTATAAACAAAATATCATTCACCTTAAAAATAGATCCAAGTAAGGACCGATGAGATTAGGTATATCCTAATAAATTTTGAAACATAAATCATACTATAATCAACTAAACATAATGAAACCTTTTGAATGCTAAAGCAAACTTTTTGTACCATTAAATTTCACGAATGAAACTGTTTCACGTTTCATCTAACGAACTCACGTGCTTCCTTGTCACCTACAATGAGTTAGGTATATCCTAATAAATTATGAAATATAAAACATACTATAATCAACTAAAAATAATGAAACACGTTGCAGACTAAAGCAAATATTTTGTATCATTAAATCAATGAATGAAACTGTTTCACCGTTTATAGAACGAACTCACGTGACTGCCATTAAAGAAAGACCGATTGTCATGGAGGGTTGAACGATGAAACATATAAAGAATGAAACATTTTTTAAAATTTAATGAGACATTTTGAAATTTGAATATTTTTTTATTTAATGAACGTTTTTCATGCATAAAACGTTCCGAAATATTGTGAAATTGTTTGCTGGTCATTATTGAACATGAAATTAGTTTCATTACTCAAAGTACATATATTTTTCAATGAAACGGAACACAAGTTTCATATTCTACTGTTTTTAGAATTCATATTTTTTATAAAATATAATGGTAAAAAATAATAAAACATATTAATGATAAAAAATTTATATTAAGAAGAAATCATTTACCTCCTTCTATATAAAACGTTTCCATTATTACGTTTCCAAAATTAACAGTATTTATTATCTTCCAATATTAATCAGTATACAATCAAATGACCATTATAGCCTTACTTATTAAAATTAAAGAAAAAAACAGAATTTTTCTATTGGTCGAAAATTGTTTGCATAGTTTTCATGAATTAGGCGGTTTGTGACGTAACCCGCCTCTCTCTCTCTCTCTCTCTCTCTTTATATATATATATATATATATA